TCCCTGTGGTGCAATACAGTTTCAACATTCTTAACTGTACCATAGCTGACATTAAACGAAAGGACGCCAAAGCAAGAAATCTTTTCATTTACCACCGCATGCATCACCCTAAGGTTGATGTTGATTGTCTGTATGTGCCCAGATCCCAATAAGGAGGAGAGAGATTAGAGATTCAACTAGAAATTTCTTACAAAACTAAAGCAATTAGCCTTCAAAGAAACCGGGAAAATACAGAAGGCTGGATGATGATATGTGTCAAAGAACATGAAAGTAGGAAGTGACTTCATTCAGTAATAAAGGAAGCCAACAATTTCAAAAGGAAGCTTCAAGCGGGTGAAGAAATACAAGGAAAGCATAATGCACCGACTGAAACTGCAAAATACTTAAAAAAAAGAAAGCAAAGCCAAATGCAACCGACTAGATACAGAAACTATGGCAAGATAAACCGCTTCACGGTCAATATACTGCCCATACCAAAAAAGTTTATGTAAACAAATCCCGTACCCATCAGTGGCTACGTAGTGCAGGGTTAAAAGCTGAGACTGAATGTTTTATTCTTGCTGCACAGGACCAATGCTTAGTAAGTAGAAATTACCAATCACACATACTGAAAAATTGTGTTAGTCCCAAATGCAGATTCTGTGATGAATCTCCAGAGACAATTGACCATCTTGTGTCAGATTGCGTGGTACTGGTACCCGCTGAATATAAAACATGGCACGACGGAGTGGACCAATATATGCACTGGAAAATCTGCGACACTTACGGAAAGGAAACTGCAAGTGATTGGTATGAACACCACCCAGACCTGGTTACGGTGATAGGACTTGTAACAATTTTGTGGGAATTGACAATAAATACAGAAGAATTAAAGCTAATCGCCTTGACATGGTGATTAGAGACCGCAAATTCACAATGTGCCTCCTTATTGACATGGCAGTCCCTGCAGACGCCAATTTATCTTTGAAGATCTTCAAAAACTATTAACTTACAAGTACCGTGAAATCGAAATCTCAAAGATGTGCGCATGAGGACATTAATAATTCCAGTTGTAGTTGGAGCCCTCGGATTGATTTGAAAAGATTCCAACAGACTCATTGAAGGAATTCCTGGTAGCCCATGTCTTAAAGAAATATAAAACATTGTACCCACGAGTACAGCCCACACCTTACGTAGGGCTTTATCTATGTAAAATATGTGGCATATTTTTTTTTTCAAAACTGCTCAGTAGAAAATGTAATGATGCCATTTTTGACCTTAGGTCTCTGTTCGGGGCCCAGAAAGAAATGTGTATCCGCCATAAACCAAAAGATATAAAACAATACTAATAATACAGACATTAGAAAATTATTCAAATATATCTCTCATGGTCAGCTGTATGTAAAAAAAGAAGGAAATTTAGTTGAACGTAGTATAATGTCAAAAATAATTCTGAAAATTGATGATCTTGCTTAAAATTGTTTAAAAAATATTTTATATAGAAGTATGTAAAATTATATTACAACATGACTTTCCATGTTTGTAGGATGAGTACTTTTTAATTCATATTAGTACTTGTGCAAATAGTGACTGTGTTGTTTTGGTTTAAATTTGGTACTCTGTTTAATTAATGCCAGCCGTTTAAGCCACTTGAAAACTGTCAAATAATTTGATTTCATTTCCTAGGTAAAAGATAACGTTACCGTTAAGAAGTTTGAATTGGCCTAATTCTTTTTGTTTTCGTCTTTTATTTTTTTTGTAGATTTCACTTTTCGTGTTCCTCACATCATCACCCCATGTTGTGATGAAGACTTTTTGCGAATCTCAATCATCAGAAGCAAGCAAATCAAGATTTCCATTACTAATCGTAATTTGGTCTTATTTTTTAATCTAAAATTCGTTCATTTAACTTTTGGCCAATGTTCAAAATCGATTCCAGTTACGGCCGATATTCAAAGCGCTGCAGCTGAATATACTTTTCTTTGCATTCTCAAAGAAGACGAACAAGAAGCTCAGAAACAAAAAAAAAAAAAAAAAAAAAGATAGAGTAAAAGAAGAAACAGAAAGAGAAAAGAAAGAGTAAAAACAAGAAGAGGATGAGTAAAAAGAAATGAAACGAAAAACAGGAGTAGAAACGGATTGGAAGAGACGAGGTAAAAATATTAACATGCAGAAGAATAAAAATAGGACAGTAGTGTAAGACGATGAAATATGAAATACCAAAAAAGAAGAAGAAGAAGAAGAAGAAGAAGAAGAAGAAAGAAGAAGAAGAAAGAAGAAGAGAAGCAGAGGAGGTGGAAGGATAGAAGTAGTAGTAGCAGAAGTAGTAGTAGTAGAAGAAAGAAGAAAAAGAGAAGAAAAGGAAGTAGAAGAATAGAAGAAGATGGAATAAGAGAGACCAACAAAAAAGAAAAGGGGAATAGAGAAGAAGAAAGAGAGGAGGAACGAACGGAAAAAAGAAATGGTAGTAATAGAAGAAAAAGAAGAAATCAAAGAAAGGTACAGTAGAGTAAGGCGGTGAAATAGGAGAAATCAAAAAAGAGAAGATGAAGAAGAAGCAGAAGAAGGAAATGAAATAATAGTAGTAGTAGTAGTAGTAGAAGAAAGAGAAGCAGAATAAGAATAAGATGAAAAAGAAGAAGAATAGAAAAGTAGAGTGAGAAGATGGAATAGGAGAGACCAAAAAAGAAGAAAAGTGGAATAGAGAAGAAAAAAATAATAAGATGAAGGAAACGAAGAAACAGCAGCAGTAGAAAAAGAAGAAAAAAGAAAGAGTAAAAAAGAAGAGAAGATTTAGAAAATGAAATAGGAAAGACCAAAAAACGAGGATAAGATCAACAGAGAAGAAGAAAAAAGAAGGATGAGGAGAAGACGAAAAGATAGAAGAGGAATATATAATAAAGCTAGAAAAGTCATATGAAGCAGATAATGGAGATGATAATAAAGAATTTGAAGATGAAAGACCAAATAGGAAATTAAGACTAGTGAGGAAAATAGGGATGATGATGATGATGATGATAGGAATTTGAAAGATGACAATTGCATATCACTATTTCCCTGCTTGAGAGAGGGGGGCTTTGCAACGACAAAAATTCAGGGAATCAGCCAGGCACTTTCCGTTCCTCTTGCTAATCATTGGCTTCATCGACTGTGGTTACCTTTAGGCAAACTCTCATCCGTCCAAACAATTCTATCAAATTATAAGCCTGCTTTGGTGCGAAAAAGTCTCTAGACAATCAAGCGAACAAGGAAATGGTAAGAACTGAGACTTGCTCATCTAAAATTAATTGTTATGGAAGGAAAAGTAAAACAGAGAAACAAAAAAGACATTTTTTTTTTTACTAAAGTTCATCCAATACAAAGGTTCAGGCGTGACTGAAGGTTGAAGGTTACTGAATGAAAATTTAATAGGATATGGAATATAGATAAAGATCGAGACTTGACCTGAAAAGGTTAAAATGGTAGTGTCCAGGGAAGCATCCACGCGAAAGTTTTTTTTTTCCACGAAATAGAAATTCTTGGGAGAAAACTTTTCTATTCAGTGGACGTAGTTTTAAGGGTTTCAACAGGTTAAACAAAAAAGGGTAGCACCCCTAAGCATTTACCATGGAAATAGCTATAATGAAGCGGTAGACTTGCAAAGTTACCTCTGTAGAGAAAGAGGGTGCAGAATGGGAAATGTCATCTTCTAAAAGACTGTGTAAACGATGGCATAAGGGGGAAGGGATAGGAACGAGGAATGGGACAGAAAGAATGAAGAGGCGGAGGATAGAAACGAAAAGGAGGCAAAAAAGACATGGGTAGGAGGTGGAAATCAGGAGTATGGAAATAGAGAGGAGGGTAAATTTGAGGGGAAGAGCAGAGACGTGGAGGAAGATAGAATCAAGGAAAAGGAAGGAGAGAGAATAGAAAAGGCCAGCGGATAGAGACATGGGTAGGAGGTGGAAATCAGGTGTATGGAAATAGAGAGGAGGGTAAATTTGAGGGAAAGAGCAGAGACGTGGAGGAAGATAGAATCAAGGAAAAGGAAGGAGAGAGAAAAGAAAAGGCCAGCGGATAGAGACATGGGTAGGAGGTGGAAATCAGGTGTATGGAAATAGAGAGGAGGGTAAATTTGAGGGGAAGAGCAGAGACGTGGAGGAAGATAGAATCAAGGAAAAGGAAGGAGAGAGAATAGAAAAGGGCAGCGGATAGAGACATGGGTAGGAGGTGGAAATCAGGTGTATGGAAATAGAGAGGAGGGTAAATTTGAGGGGGAAGAGCAGAGACGTGGAGGAAGATAGAATCAAGGAAAAGGAAGGAGAGAGAATAGAAAAGGGCAGCGGATAGAGACATGGGTAGGAGGTGGAAATCAGGAGTATGGAAATAGAGAGGAGGGTAAATTTGAGGGGAAGAGCAGAGACGTGGAGGAAGATAGAATCAAGGAAGAGGAAGGAGAGAGAATAGAAAAGGGCAGCGGATAGAGACATTGGTAGGAGGTGGAAATCAGGAGTATGGAAATAGAGAGGAGGGTAAATTTGAGGGGAAGAGCAGATACGTGGAGGAAGATAGAATCAAGGAAAAGGAAGGAGAGAGAAAAAAAAAGGGCAGCGGATAGAGACATGGGTAGGAGGTGGAAATCAGAAGTATGGAAATAGAGAGGAGGGTAAATTTGAGGGAAAGAGCAGAGACGTGGAGGAAGATAGAATCAAGGAAGAGGAAGGAGAGAGAATAGAAAAGGGCAGCGGATAGAGACATTGGTAGGAGGTGGAAATCTTGAGTATGGAAATAGAGAGGAGGGTAAATTTGAGGGAAAGAGCAGAGACGTGGAGGAAGATAGAATCAAGGAAGAGGAAGGAGAGAGAATAGAAAAGGGCAGCGGATAGAGACATTGGTAGGAGGTGGAAATCAGGAGTATGGAAATAGAGAGGAGGGTAAATTTGAGGGGAAGAGCAGAGACGTGGAGGAAGATAGAATCAAGGAAAAGGAAGGAGAGAGAAAAGAAAAGGCCAGCGGATAGAGACATGGGTAGGAGGTGGAAATCAGGTGTATGGAAATAGAGAGGAGGGTAAATTTGAGGGGAAGAGCAGAGACGTGGAGGAAGATAGAATCAAGGAAGAGGAAGGAGAGAGAATAGAAAAGGGCAGCGGATAGAGACGTGGGTAGGAGGTGGAAATCAGGAGTATGGAAATAGTCAATTTGAGAAGAATGGCAGAAACGTGAAGGAAGATAGAAACGAGGTGTGGGACAGGTACATGGGAGTTATGGAAACGGTGAGATAGAAATGAGTAATGGGAGAGGAATGTGGAGGGGGAACAAAGCAAAAGAGAAGCATATAGAGAAGAAAACAGAGTTGGAGGACAGAATAATGGGTAACGAGAAGTGGGCAGGGTAACTGAAATGGTAGAATGGTATATATATATATATATATATATATATATATATATATAATAGGAGGAAGTAAACGACGTGACGGGGAGTGAAACAAAAAAAGAAGATTATGTTGATAAATAAATCATTTGTATCACTGTTGAAGGTAACAATATTTGATTACAGCCTGTCATTGATCACGTAACTAAAAGTGGATGCGAGAGATCAACTGTGTGTAGGTGATATTCTTATTTGCATAAACTATCATTCGAAAGCCAAAGGACAGTGTCCATTTTTTTTGTTGCAAGACAGCGAGCGCCAAATTATAATGCCTGTTTGCAAATAAGACTTATTAATATTCATAAGCAATAGTGATTGGCATCGCATCACTTTACAGTTCCATCTTTACCAAAGAAAAGCTATCAAATGTTCAAAACAGATCGAAATAACTGTCTGAAATCAGTAGTCTTCATCCGGACTCTAACTATTTTCTATTATACTAACATATTTGTTAAATGCCTCTTTCGTTAGGCTTGGTGTCAATTTATTTCCTATTAAATAAAGGTTATTTATCACCAATCTTAAAGATTACTATTATTAATTAATATCGTCAGTGGATTACTAATGTTTGACAGAGGCAAGGATTCTGTGATTAACAGTTTATATAAAAACACAATCAAGATAATAGAGTTATTGTAACGTCTAAGATCCCTTTCCTTCGATGCATAATATGTATGTATGTATGTATATATATATATATATATATATATATATATATATATATATATATATCAAATATATATATATAAATTCAGTTTATATTAAAATGAATCATTGATACAAAAAGTAGATTAGTAAAGTTAATGATATAAAATGGCGAAAATCCCATCGTTAACAAAATTGTAAATGTTCATTAACCTACAAATCACTCGATGAATGTTATGATCCTTGATTTTTAAATATTTAAAACAGTATAATAAAAAGTTGAAAGTACTTGCGTATTAAAGAAAGTACTTGCGTATACAGGTTTTAATATAAAAGTTTGGTAATCCGTATAGATAATCCCAAGGAGGATGTAATGCAGTGAGCTCAATGTCAAATCAGAGGTTGTCTGTTTTCTATTTAAATTGAATTTATACATACATACATGCATACATACACACACACACATATATATATATATACGTGTGTGTGTGTGTGCGTGTGTGTGTGTGTGTGTGTTAGCAGGGGGATATGATCATTGCAATATAGATTATTAATGCAATTATAATGATATGAACTTATTATGCCATTAAATCAACAGCCAGGACCTCTTTGTCCTTAGTTCAATATTAGTACAGAATTTGTGCAAGTAAATACAGGGTTTCTTCCTTGATTATTTCACTGGACTTCTAATGAGGAAAACGCAGGGATAAAATTCTATGATTAACGATTCTGTGTATAAATTAACTAGCAGCATGGCCCGGAGTTGCCCGTGCTTGATTCAAAAATCGTACGACTCATACAGCAATTGCTATCACTTGACTTAAAATATTTTTGCCCTTCCTTGCCTTTAAAGGAGTGCTCGTTTCCGTGCTGATGTTGCTACATGCCTTATTTCTTGCCTATCTCACACTGCGAATTTTTTCTAAGCTCTATACTAAACATTAAATCTGTTACGAAAAAAGAACTAAACAAAATGAACACAAAACGATCAGCTTTAATAAAGGACTCGTATCTGAAAAAACCGAATGAAAAAAGAATGTTAACAACAAATACTTTTTCACACCCAACCCAGTTCTGCGGTATCAGAATCAACGTTGGGGTTAAGCAAGCGAATGAGCCAATTGGAGTAAAGTGCCATGCAGATTTAAATTTTTCCTACTAGTGACGAATACAGCTATCGATTTTTTGCATGCGAGCATGCAAGTTAACATTCGTGTCAGTCAGCTGCTGGCTTTCACGCTGGCCAATAGAATCTTCCAGCCTATTCGTGGCAACCAGCTATAGGCTCTCACTCTGGCCAGTAGAAAATGGCCGCAAACTACATCAAAAATGTCGTAGAAGCATGAAAAATCGATTATTTCCACTATCGATGTGAGTTGGAAAATGCAAAGTCGGTCTTGGCCTTCCTGTTAACTTGGAGCATGTGCATGTAAATTTTGGTGCAAATCCG